TAATATGTGTTATGTCGACTCAAGCGTGAGTATGAACTAGTCTCAAGTCATTTGGTGTTGGACACTAAGGCAAACACATAGGTGCTCGAAAGAGTAATCGAGTACATTGAACAACGATCAAACAAGAGTTCGAACATACATGTCATGTGAGAACTCAATAGTTGCAATATGCAAAGTAGTCCTTTGACCTGAGGCATCATTGATGTCTAATGGTTAGGTCCTTGATCTTTGATTATGTCAACGGCATTCCATTGGAGTGTCCACGGCATTGTTGGGGTCAAGCTATCTAGTCATGTAGGCATATGAATGTACAACAAGGGATCTCTAACCTTCCATGATGGAAGGAGAATACTCTAAGATATGATTCGAGAGTCTTTGGCCAAAGCATATGAATATGACTAAGGAAGATGTTCCAAATCTTATTCAATTGAATCATATAGAGAAGTATCACATTGGATAGTAGACATGAAACAAACTATCACTTAAACAATGTGATTAAGAGTATTGTATTAGAGAATGACCGTATTGCATTGTAGTTGTAACTGGATAGGTTCTCCAACCACTTCTACTTAGCTTGGGTAACCATGACATGCTGCTAGGCGTCACCCATGGTTTGTGGAAGCCCTAAAGATTAGCAAACACTAATTTAAGGGAGAATTGAAATGTGGTTTCAATTCACAATCGATCGTTAAGAGTAACATCGCCCACTACCTCGCTAATTGGAACCTAATGGATCGTACACCGAGTAAAGATATAAGTGAAGAAATTATATGAAATGGATAAGCAATTAAATGGTTTAATTGAAGAATGGTCAAGATTAATTAAATAGTTAATTAATTATACGAAACGTTCGTATTGGGCGTTTAAGTTAGTTTTGGGCTTCGGGACACAAAAACGTTTTGGCCCACAAGGCCCATTATGTTTAAGTTGTATGACAACTAAAACAAAATGGGCAATTAAGCCCAAATACATTATATGGCCGGCCATAACCTTCAAGGGTAGTGAACTTGGCTTAATTGCAAGTTTGCCACTCCATTGTGAGGTGGTATAAATACATCTTTATAGCCATTTCACCCTAAGGGGTTTCTAATTGAATTTGGGTGAAACCTATTCTCTCATTACCTTAGGTGAGGAACATCTAGCAATCTTTCTTACCTAAGTCATCCATTTCATCTTCACACAACATCTTTGGTGTGGAGACTTAGAGACACCAAACTTTTGGTGTTTTGGAGAACAAATCCTCAAATCCTCAAAGAAGAAAAGGAGCACTAAAAGGGAGGAAATCACAAGGAAGATTCAAGGAGCAAGGAGGTGACTTGAAGGCCCTCCACTTGGGTGAATCCCTTGTGCAATCAAGGATGAGCTTCAAGGGTAAAGAATCTCTAAATTCTTATTCTCTTTAATTTTGTTAAAGAGTCTTATGGTTCACCATATACTAGGCTTTGAAAGTCATGGGTTTTATGAATTGTTTTTGAATGCATGCCTACTTTAAAGAGTTATTAGTTTGCATATGTATTCAAATGTTCTTACATGTTCTTAGCTAGGACAAAATTTTTCCTTCACCCTGGTCATCAGTGGTAACCATCTCACCAAAATCTTCCTCACCACAAACATCTAACATAAGAAGTTGTTTTTTAAGGCACTTATGTATTACTTTCTTCCACTTTTCTATTAAGTAATAAAAAAACTAACTTGTGTATTACTTTCTTCCACAAATACAAACGTATTTCCATATCTCTCTTTCAGTCGTGCCCCATTTTTCATAGATGAACCTAAATCATGATTTTATGTTGGAGATTATTCAATTAGTAAGAGTGAGATGTTGATTTCAATTAAGTTTGAATATTGATAGTTAAGCTTTGTATAAATATATTGTTCAAATTTTTTTTTTTTTAAATAAGGAGGGCCTTTTTATTAAATTGCACAGGGCCCCCAAAATGTCAAAGACGGCCCTGGCAGCATGGTTCACCCTATCATCATTGACATGGTCTCAACTTAAGCACCTATTACTAGGTGTGAGGTTTTATCATAAAAAACTTCGATGATGTTAGAAGTGAAATCTTCCGTATTTCTAATGTGAGACTCTGACACATAATTTAAATAATAGTGATGGCCTCACTTGTAGAGAAATAGAGGTAAATCATACTATTATATGGAAAACTTACTTACGAGTGCGTTAATATTGTATGTCTAATTACATGGATTGAAGAAAGCAAAAGCTAAAAATTTGGAACTTTCTACTTATTTTTGTGAAAGAAAAAAAAATTATACTTACTTTTTGTAATTAAACATTTTTCTAATGGAGTGGATGCGAGTATTTTTGTAATCAAAATAGTCTCAGATTCAATGTAACCGAAAAGTTCATGGCCGCAAAGGCTACTTTGCACCAAATATTACAAGGGTGATCTTGGGAAAATAATTGTTTATGACCAAAAGTAGTAGTAGTAGTTTCAAGTATATAAGAGCAGCTAAGAAGTAAGAAGCTAGATAGGATGTACATACACATGAAGAGATGAAGATGAAGATGAAGGCAGAAAGCTCAAATACCCATGAATGAAGCAAGTTTTTTTATCCAAAAATCAGAGCTTCGAAGGAGTCTACGGTTAGAAAGCAAGTTCTTGGTGATGGCGAAAAGAAAACCCAGAAGGCAGTGATAAGAATTTGCGAAATCAATCGACAGAGAGAGAATTTGAAGAAGGAATACTTTCAGTTAGAGAAGAAGATGGCAGCACAAGCAGATCGCGAGAGAAAGAGAAAGAATGATGAAATTATATTTTAGCGTTTTTGAGAACTTGACTAAATAATATAGAGGTTTTTGAGCGGAGAAGTTATACGGCGTGAGCCGTATAGAATGCGTGAGCCCTGATAAATTAACCGGTGGCTATTTAATACGTAGTAGCACCAAACACTTGATTCGTATTAAATAATCATATCCGATGTCTAATACGGCATGCTAAACGAGACCTCAGTTAAGAAGCGTTTATATATAGCAAGACAAATAAAAAAGGTGTTTATATAGGAGACAAGTAGTGTTGATACGATTTATGAGGTTAGTACTTTAGTTGCCGGTTAGAGTTTTAGTCGCTTGTTCGTTTGTTTTGTTTGTATTAGTTGCGACGTGAACATGCGTTTAAAATTGGTATAATCACCATGTCATAAAATTGGCATAACACCATGTCATAAAATTGGCGACCGGCTCACTCCCAACTCAACTCACTCTGAAGTGTGAATGCGTTTCTGGTTGGACTCTGAAGCTGCAATTAGGGATCATGAAGCTGCAATTTGGGATTGGTTTATATATGATGGATATACCCAAGGGGGGATCATCATCCTAGCTAGGGGTGAAATTTTTTGCTAAATTACCATATCAAGGTTGTGCCAAAAAATTTGTACCATTGGTAATGATACAGTATTTGTATCGTACCATACATTTTTGGTACGGTAATGGTATTCAAAACCGTTACCAGTGGTATACCGTACCGTACCGTATCACTATTATTAATATCATATCATATTTATTCATTTATATATAATTATGTACTATTATCATTATATATGCACTTTATTTTTTTTCCTAGTCATTTATCCAATCATCTCACCCTCTAACCTCTACTTTCCCAATAAAAAAACCTAAGCATTCTTGCGTTGCGACTCTTCATCTTTTCACTCATCTAACCACCGACTTCATCTCTATTGCTCCAATTCCGGAGACTCTCTCTCTCCAGAGTCCATCTCATCTTCTCCTTCATCAAATGGGGATGTCTTTCTCCCTGGCTTCGTCTATCAAGTTAATTTTTGTACAATTTTAAAGAACGTAGAGATGGAATTTAGGAATCTTTATACTATTTTTTTGGGGATATTGGGTTCTTTCAGCAATTCTTCCATCTATTTACTTCTTGTTTCTTAAATGAATCTCTATAAAATTCTCATAATTAAATAAAAAAGTTTTAGAAACCCAAGGGGAGTGGCCAAAACACGTTTGGGCCTTGAATTGGGTTGGAAAAAAAAAATCAAATTTTGGCCCAAAACAAAGTGGTAATTACCCTTACCATACTATGTTAACCAAGCTATTTAGCATGCCGACATTTAGTATACCGAAAGTTTGATACAGTAATGGTAATAAATTTTGTCATACCAAAAGTTTGGTATAGTAATTGGTACATGAATTTTGACTGGGTGATCGTACCAATACCACCCCTAATCCTAGCTACATAGTCTGCTCCTTTGTTGACCAAAAAGCTTTGAGAACAGAGGTCCCTTTATTTGTGAACAAGTTAGTAAGCCTGATTAATAATCTAATAATCTCGTTTTCTTGATTTTGCAAACAGTGGACTGTGGAGTGGGGGATAATCTTTTGTTTGCGGTTTGATTTATTAGACTTTCTAATACTAAAATCGAATTTTGAAAAAAATTAAATAAATATATTACCATCGAATCAATATACCCTTCTAAATGAGAGTAACGAGAACAACTTTCATAACACAAGTATACAATCATTTTATGAAAGTCTCCATTCTAAAAAAATATTCTAATTGACCCCTACGTATGAATTTATGAGAAGAAATACTATATGTTGTAAAAAGTTCGATAATCTACTCTTAGTTAACGTTTTTGTCTAAACTACAATTGTATCAGTCATTTTGATATTAAAGAACAGTAATATGATATTCCAAACTACTCCAATTAACGAGAAGAAATTGAACACAGTGTGGCAATTAAAACAAATTTTGTATTGTTGTCCATGCGTACTATATAAATGATACCAAAAAAAGTATAGAATCGAACACACAACATCGATCGGATAAGTATTTGATGTTTTCACCTTTGCTCTTTGGTTATAGGTATTGGCTTTGATTTGACAGTTCTATTTGGCCCAACTGGTCTCCAGGAAAGGGTCCAAGAGAATGAAATTTCTCTCGATGCCATTTCGAAGAAAGCTACAACATTCCGACAAAATAAATCTCTAGTTGGAAGTACCCTTTAAACAATAAGACGCGATAAACCAGCTGAAGTTGTTTTTGTTTTCTCATTATGTTTTGATGTACCTTACAACATCAGTTAATTATATTGTGAGATTATGGCACGATCTGCATCTGATTTGTCTCAACTGAATGCATCTTTGCTTCTAATCTGATCTTGGAAATGAAGGTTTAACTAGGGTAGTACCTGAAATTTCTTCCATGTGTCGATGAGAGCAGTGAGACTTTTTGTTGAACTACCACCATCTTCAACCGCCCTTCTAGCATTGTCTCTAATGTGCAGTGCTTGCAACTTCAATAAGTCATTTCCCATTATCTCACTAACCCTCTGTGCAATGTCCTCTGCTTTCACCAACATCTCCCCATCACCCCAACCCCAACTCTTATCCCACGTTCCGAGTCCAATTCTCTCCACCAAATCTGCATTGACTTTCTGATCCCCATGTTGCGGCCATGCTAATACGCGCACACCGTTCCAGAGAGCCTCAGACAAAGAGTTCCAGCCACAGTGACTTAAAAACCCACCAATGGCCGGATGGCTCAATATCTCCTCCTGGTTCAGCCAGTTCTTCACTGCCAATCCATTTATCTTCACCCTCTCCAATAATTCCTCTCCAAGCACCTCAGTCAGTTTCTCGTCATCTTCGATGTCAACTTTCTTATCCTTCACCGCCCACAGAAACCTGCAACCGCTCCTCACCAAGCCATCACCCAACTCTCTAATTTGCTCCCTGGACATGGCAGTCCTGCTCCCAAAGCTGACGTAGAGCACTGACCCAGTTGCTTGATCATCAAGCCATTGCAGTTGTTGGCTTGTCTCGAAGAAACACGGTGCTAGCGGTCCGATGGAAATTACTGACGGTAGTTTTCTCAATACTTTGCCTTCATTTAGTGCTGCCAACGTCTCACTCTCTATACTTTCATATGTGTTCACCAAAATTCCGCTTGATTCAGTCATTTTCTTACCATTCTCTATGAAAAAGGTCTTCAGCAGATTGTTACTTTCCTGCAGCAGTGGTGGAGGCATCCGTGATTTTGGTATTGGCCCCAAACCCGGAACTTGGAGATCATCTTTTATAGTGTGATTAGGGCCAAGCATGGTGTGGAAGGACACATAAAGTGTCAACATTTTGGCAGATGATGTGAAGAAGATGTAGTTTGGAAGTCCGAGAGAATCGGTTACAGGAAGAACCGTGGAGGCGAAGCTCATGTCTGTGATCATAGCGGAGAGAGGTGGAGAGAGTGAAGATAAAAGAGGAGAGAGCATGTGAGAAGAGCGGCGAATCAATTCAAAATGGTGGTAAAAAGGGTCTTCGGAATTGGCACAGGACTCGTCGAGCGGAAGGAGATGAAGCTGCTTTCGAGTAATTTGTGGGAAGGCCATGAGGAAATTCGACAAACTCTGTGACTCGGCAAGTGAGACGGTTGGATTTGGAGTGATGAAAGTGACACAAACATTATGTGATGCTAGTAACGCTGCAAGCCGAAGGAAGGGTGTGAGATGGCCCATTCCGGCACTTGGAAGGAGAGCTACATGAGGGACTCGTAGATCGCCGGAATCTGACATTTTAATGGACAATGATGTTTTGCTAAGGGAAAGTAGATTACCTTTAGAGCAGGGCATATTTCATATTTGTACTGATGAAGGCTCAGGCAGGTGCACTGAATGTACGCATGTAGTCAAATGACTCACGTCTATGACCAAAAGATGTTTGAATATGCATATGCTTAGTCAAATGGGCCACGTCTAGCAGGAAAAGGACAAGTAAATATCTATGTTTTCTTGGATGCCAAGAAAGTTTGAACTAGTAAATTAGAAAAGCGACCTACTTTGTTTGACACGCCCCAACTTCGATATCCCCAAATGTCAGGGTAGGCACGTGTTGGCCAACACTCAAGAATGACGAAGCCATTTTAAACATGCATACCCATAAAATATTTAATTAGAAAGATATAAACCGATGCAGAATCGTGTTCAAAGCAGACAACTACTAAGAATAATATGAAAGGATTACTAAGAAAAGATAAGAACAAGGAAATGATACCTATACTGAGGAGACTCGAGGGTAACTAAGCCAAAGTACCCTAACGTCGGGATCGTGTGCCTCGAATATAAATCCTGAAGGGGGCGTAATATAGAAAACGTAAGTGGACCAAAGTTTATAATAATACTAATAATGTGAAAACCGTTATCTTTATGAACATAGTAACCCCTTGTTTTAAAAACATATATATAATACTACATAGTAGGTTTTATGAAAAACCCTAGCATGCAATGTAAAACATTTGTGAATCATTGTAAATCATATCTGTGTTGTACTCAACTAGGGGTATCATAGTTGCCCGAAGGCAGTACTTGTAGATCACCCGAAGGTGAAGCTGAATAACCTGTTCATCACCCGTAGGTGAAGCTGTATAAAATAGCATACATCCACACCGGCACTAGCCGCAGCTAGTGAAGCTGGAGGTATATATAATATATCATATCTCACTCCTCCATCATCTGTGTCCTATGGCCATGGACATAATACCCGTGCTGTGTGGATGTGCCATATGATAACCTGCTAGGTAAGTACCACAAACATATCTCAAAACTCATATTAAATCCAGAGGTCATTAGTTCAAAATCTCATCTCATAAATCCAAAATATATCACTTTCATAAAACCATAAAATAAATAAAAAAATACTTGAAAGTCATATAAAATCATGTACCCAAATCCCATAATTCATAACCTTTAGCGGAAAATAATTTCAATAAATAATAAACATTCATAAACGTAAATTAAATAACTCTTAATTTCTCTTAAATCATAACTATAGAAATCCATGAAGGCATGGTATAAATCATATTCAAATCATGAAATATGCCATGCTAGGTAAATATTTATAAAAATATATAGGTTAAGAAGGGGTCCACTCACTGATTTTATTGCGTGAGAACCGCTCGAACTAGCGACGATGACGTCGCTTCCCGCCAACACGCCTAAACACAATTAAAGACCTTTTAGTAAAACTCTACTAAAATGTTAGAATTTGGGGAAACGGATGGCGGATTCGGATTCAGATTCAGCACATTGAGGAACCTCAGGTTTTTCCTCCACGCACCGCCGTGCATGGCGGTCGGCCACCCCGGCTCGCTGGAAAATCCAACAACTCCAAAAATTCCCAAATTTTACAAGAATGAAGATCTCGATGAAAGGAACAACTTTCATACCTGTGACTAAGGCCAATTTGACCAGAAAAAGCCCCGATTTCACTAAAACTCGTTGGAACCCTAGATTTGGGTGTGCTTTGATTCGACCTCCATACTCACTCTGACGCCTCAACAAATCCCTGGGCTTTATTCTTGGACTCAAGGGAAGCATGTTGGTGGTGGAAATTGAAAGGAATCGTTTCACAAATGGTGGTTCAAAGCCAAGAACCACCCGGACCTGTCGGTGGGTTTTCTCACACATCGGGGCTAAAACTCGTCGGTTTTGATGAGAATTAGGTGTTGGGGATGTTTTGATAAGATTTGGTGGTGATGGGAGGTTGAAGAAGGCTGGAAAATTAGACGAAAAATCATCGAAAAATTCCAAGGAAGTCGGGTCATCGCGTGGGTCAAAGGGAACCCAGCCGGTTTCCTTCTTTCTCTTCTCCCTCCTTTCCCTCCTTGTTCTTTCTTCTCATTGGTCCTCTCTCTCGTCTCTTCTCTTCCGATTGGCCTTCACTTCTCCCTCATTTCTCTCCTTTATCTTCCATCTCCACCATTCATCTTTTCTTTCCTTTAATCTGGGCCACACATGTGGCTTTCCAGATTTTGCTCCAAAAATCTGGAGCTTTCTAGAAAATAATCAATTTACTAAAATGTCCTCAACTTTAAACGTTAATATCTCCTTCGTTATAACTTCAAATCACGCTCTGTTTGTGCCCACGTGTCCATAGCGACGAGTACTATAAGATTACGCCAAGAAAATGAACCTTACATGACACGACAAGGTGTTCAACATAAGTCAACATATTTGCCTTGAAGGACATTTTCGTAAATTCACTTTTTAAAATTATAAAAATCGTAATAATTGGGGACGGATCGTTACACTGTTTTTGCAACAATACTCAACTAAAAATTTTAGTTTTAGGAGGTAATCTTAATTTTCTAATTTTGCTAAGCCAATATCTATACATCTAGGCTCATATTTTACTTGAAGACGTGATGCAGTTTTAATAGAAAATTATGCCCCAGGAGGTGGTCTCCGCACAAATTGATATTTAGTGTAAAAAAGTGGTACATTAATTGTAGAAATAGATTTAGAAACATCTATGAGGACAACACGATTTAACTTGTAATCTCAAAAGATCGTACACGGTGATGTCAAAACAAAAAATATTTTGCTTGATACTCTTAGAAATCTAAAAATATTTTATTGGTGTTGCTCATATTGAAGCTAAGAACACAACAGACAGGACTGGTGAAATTGGTACACCCTTCGATAAAATGGTGCTAGAGATTCTAGATCTTTAAAGATAGAAGATGTGATAAGATGTGATGACTATAGCTTTGGTATGTTGCGACCTTACCCAATCCTTAACTTTGCTAATGTATTATTTGGAGTTTCTTGACAAAATTACCAGCCATAAATCCCCAAATGTTGGCCAGGTTGTTTAGGAAACATCATGCGTAGGTCCTGGCATGCAAGTGTATATAAACGTCCTGAAATGGGCAATGTGTTGATCATACATTCAAGAATAAGGTGATCAAATATGGGATATTGTGCATGAAAGATTGAATTGAGGCAATTGTTACTTAGGAACTAATTGGACAAAATTACCATGTTTATGCAACTATTTTCATAATTTACCTAAAACCACCCAAGCCAACCATTGAAAATGAACCATTCTTGATTCCAACTACGTACCATAAAACAGGTGGTTAGGATTCCAACGTTAGCATCAATTAGTGTAGTTATTGACCATATAAACATGAAAACTAACTTTGTATGGCTATGTTAGCTTTGAAATGATTACAGGAAAAGACGAGAACTTTTCCTTTGGTACTGTACAAGAAATGGGGATGGTGAGTCTTGAGATGCACTTTTAAGTTTGTATGGAAATTATTTCTGCTCTTATTACTCATTTGGGCTTCACAATTATCATGAACAAAATCGTCACACCAACTATGTAACGAACCCATATTAATTTTCACACATTGTTTACATGACACCATTTTACAACAAAAAACTATGATTTCCGTTATTTAAAAAGGTGATGACACATCGGCAATCTGTTCCATAGCCCGACTACAACATATTATACCGAATTTGAGATTGAAAAGTTACATGAAACTTCAACTTAAGCACATAAATTTCGAGGATATATTAGTTCTTTTGCATCAAATATTCCAAAACTTCATTGAGCACCTTCTCAGATTTCCCACGAATGGCAGTAGCCTTCCTTAGCATCTTCCCCCACCTTCCTAGCAAACCCCTCAGTTTCTTATCCTCCATCAACTCAACAATCTTCCTCCCTATCTCTTCCCCACCCACCACCACCCCTCCAACCCCCCCAACCCCAACTCCTCTCCCATATTCCCAACCCCGCCTTCTCCACCACCTCCGCATTCACGCTCTGATCCCCATGCTGCGGCCACGCCAGTACCGGTACCCCTTTTTGCGCCGCCTCCATAACCGAATTCCACCCGCAGTGATTCACAAACCCGCCAACAGCTGCGTGCTCGAGAATGTCCTGCTGGCTCACCCACCCCTTCATTACTACTCCCCTGCCTTTTGTCCTGTCCAGAAAGGGCTCCCCAAGCAGGACTTTCAGATCTTCCTTGTCGTCTTTGTCGACCTTACTTGTTTTGAGCACCCACAAAAACCTATATCCGCTCCTTTCCAACCCATTTGAGAGCTCTCTAATCTGCTCAAAAAAAAATTATTCTAATTTTCATTTTTTATCTTCATAAAATTTTATTTAAAAATTTGAATTTAATATTAACAATTCAGTATTAATAAAATTAAATACGTATTTATTTGGACATGGCTGTTCTGCTTCCGAAACTCACGTAAACTACTGACTCTGCCGGCTGGCTGTCTAGCCATGACAGATAGTTTCCATCTTCATCCTGCTCTTTCTTGGCCTCGAAGGTATCTAACGGTCCGATCGGAAGAATCGGTGGGAGATTTTCTAAAACTCTCCCACTGTTTATAGCTGCTAGAGTTTCCGGTTCGAAATCTTCGAAAGTGTTCATTAGGATCCCTTTGGATTTGGAAAAAGCTCGAGAATTTGTGACGAGTAGTGATGTGAAAAGATGATTAGGGTTTTTATATGAAGGAGGAATGCTTCCTATAGGCAACGGAGCCATTCCGGGGACGTTGACTTCTTTCAGATTGGTTGCAAAACAGGAAGGGTTCGATAGAAGGGTTGGGAGGTAGGCCATGAGGCAAGAAAATCTACATGAGCCGGTAAAGATGATGTAGTTGGGGACGCCGAGGTCGGCGGCTACTGGGGTAATAGTAGAAGCAACTACAAAGTCGGAAAATATAGCTGAGACGGGCGGGGATGAGGCGGCAAGCAAACGGTAGAGAAGGTGGACGGAGCGGATGGTGGCTTCGAATTGGAGGAAGAAAGGATCGTCGGTGGTGGGATCGGGGGAGGAAATGGCTTGGAACTCAATGTGGTTGACTTTTGGATGTTGGGAAAGGAAGAAAGAAATGTGGGCGGACTCAGCGGCCGAGACAGAAGGACGGGCAGTGATTAAGCTGACGACGCAGTTTCGAGAGGAGAGCATGGCGGCGATGCGGAGGAAAGGGGTCAAATGCCCCATTCCGGCACTAGGCAATAGGGCTATGTGAGGAGGAGGAGGAGGAGGAGGAGGAGGAACTGTGGGGTTTGACATGGTTGTGCAAAAGAAGCAAAGGATGCCAGAAAAGTAGCGATTAACAATGAATCCTTAAATATAGGGAATTGTTATTGACACTTTAAAAATCTCATTCTACACTCCAAATTTTCTATATTTGGAAAGAAAAATACATTTATGAGGAATGTAGAATGAGATTTTTGAAGTGCTAATAACACTTTTCTATATCAGAAAAAGAAACACGTCATATCTGATCACTTGATAGCGTTGTTATTATTTTATAGCCATCATTTGGAAAATGAATAGGTTGTGAGTCATATGATTCACCAAACCTTGAAACTATAAAGACTTTAGATGATGGAATGCTTCAATATTTGACCCAATGCTTGCTTATTGATCTAGCTAATTCACTTAATGCACATTTGCAATCTATAGCTCTTCATTTGATACTATATAAACTTATAACGTACATCTACTAGCTCATACGACGTCAATATATAAAAAAATTATCTCAAAAGAAATTTTTACATGTAATGAGATGCTGTTTTCGTAAGGTCATCACATAAAGAGACTTATAAATTAATTTCATTGACTCTTAGTGTACTTTACTCGGAGTTGTTTGTCAGTCTATGATTAGTCAATGTTAAGCGGTATTTATTATTACGAATAGGTTAGATTAGATTAGTGTATATTATTGACTAAATCAATCACTTGCCCTATCAAATGAAAAATAAAACCACATGGACCCGACCCAGGTGAATGTAATCGGGTTCTATAAATAAGCCCAGTGGGCCTCGGAGGTGGCTGAAACCAAGGCCCAAATTGGTGGAGAAAACGACGGCGTATCCATGAAGTTCTATCATCGAAATGCCATCCGAAACAAGAAAACAAAACCCCTTCAGCTCCTCTGGTTCTGCTGAGCCCCTCACCCTCTGTCATCCGCCACCTTGGCGCCAAAATCACTGCAAAAATAAATAAAAAAGCGCCTGCAAAACCCTAGTCCGTACATCTCTCTCCTTAATCACCTCCACCCTCCGACCCAATCGACCCACCGTCTCTGTCCTCCACTCCCCCTCCCTCCGTTTCTCTCTGCTTCCTCCCAACCAAGGTACTCTCTCTCACACTCTCCTATGTTTCTCTCTCTCCAAATGTTTGGCTGCTTTTCGACATTTACAAACACAGGATTTTCAGTTGGAGTTGTTTATGTCTTTGTCTTTTGGGTTGATCTTAATTTACTTTGATGGTTGCAGATTCCTGGTCCTCCTCCTCCTAAAGGATCAACTATAGAACAACAGAAAGATATTGGCCTTCTTGCTGTGAAGCTACCTTCAGCAGATGCTATCGTTGTACGTACAACGCTTGGGTTTCTGACTGAAATCCGCCGCGGGCTTCCGGGGAGGAATGAAGCCGGCTCATTTTGGGGTGAGATAGGAACCAGGTCTCTGTTGGGCATTTTGCGTATCATGACAGTCAGAGTCTTTATTGGGTAGATTCTCCTTTGGGACGTGGCTTTTTTTGAAGTTTCCCCCATTTTCCCACCGCGGGCTTCGTTTTAAGATGTGGTTGGCCGGACATGGTTACAGCGACAGCAGTCTTGTTTCGCTGGGAAACAGAAAACCCGACATGGAAATAATAACCAGAGTTATGGGGCCTGAGATTGGTTATTTGACCACACCTATAATTTTAGTGCAGTGTGCTCTGATTGTTCTGAGCCAACACGACAACCTTCCAAAGGGAGGAGTTTGCCCAGCTAGGATTGTCTTTGGCCCAACTGGTCTCCAAGAAAGGCTCAAAGAGAACGAGATTTCTTTCGATGTCATTTTAAAGAAAGCTATTTCTGGTTAACTAGTACAGCATTCCGAAAAAATAAATCTCTAGTTGGAAGTACCCTTTAAAGAATAAGACACGATAAATCAGAAGCTGTTTTTTATTTCTCTTTATGTTTTGACGTACCTTACAACAGCAGTTACAATATTGTGAGATTATGGCTCAATCTGCATCTGATTTGTCTCAACTGAATGCATCTTTGCTTCTAATTTGATCTCGGAAATGAAGGTCTAACTATGGTAGTACCTGAAACATCTTCCATGTGTCGATGAGAGAAGCAAGACTCTTTGTAGAACTACTGCTATCAACAACCGCCCTTCTAGCCTTGTCTGTTGTGCAATGCTTGCAACTTCAACAAATCGTTTCCCATTGTCTCACTAACCCTCTGTGCAATGTCCTCCGCTTTCACCACCATCCCTCCTCACCCTAACCCCAAGTTTTATCCCATGTTCCAAGTCCAATTGTCTCCACCAAATCTGCATTGGTTTTCTGATCCACATGTTGCGGCCATGTTAATACATGCACACCGTTCCAGAGAGCCTCAGACAAAGAGCTTCAGCCACATTGACTTAAAAACCCACCAATGGCCGGATGGTTCAATATCTCCTCCTGGTTCAGCCAGTTCTTCACTGCTAATCCATTTTTCTTCACCCTCCCTCTCTAGTAATCCCTCTCCAAGCACCTCAGTCAGTTTCTCGTCATCTTCCACATCAACTTTTTTATCCTTCACAGCCCAAAGTAACATGCAACCGCTCCTTACCAAGCCATCACCCAACTATCTAATTTGCTCCCTTGACATGGCAGTCCTGCTCCCAAAGTTGACATAGAGCACTGACCTAGTTGCTTGATCATCAAGCCATTGCAATTGTCGGCTTGTCTCGAAGATACATGGCGTTAGCGGTCTGATGAAAATTACTGGCGGTAGTTTTCTCAATACTTTGCCTTCATTTAGTGCTGCCAAAGTCCCACTCTCTATACTTTCATATGTGTTCAACAAAATTCCGCTTGATTCTGTCATTTTCTTACCATTCTCTATGAAAAAGGTCTTCGGCAGATTGTTACTTTCCTGCAGAACCCGGAACTTGGAGATCATCTTTTATCGTGTTATTAGGGCCAAGCAAGGTGTGGAAGGACACACAAAAGTGTCAACATTTTGGCAGATGATGTGAAGAAAATGTAGTCTGGCAGTCCGACAGAATCGGTTACAGGAATAACCGTGGAGGCGAAGCTCATGTCTGTGATCATAGCAGAGAGGTGGAGAGAATGAAGATAGAAGAGGAGAGAGCAGGTGAGAAGAACGCCGAATCAATTCAAAATGGTAGTAAAAAGGGTTTTCGGAATTGATAGAGGGCTCGTCGAGCGGAAGGAGGAGATGAAGTTCTTTCGAGTAATTTGTGGGAAGGCCATGAAGAAGTGAGACAAGCTCTGTGACTCTGCAAGTGAGACGATTGGATTTGATGTGATGAAAGTGACACAAACATTATGTGATGCGAGTAACACTGCGAGTCTAGTATTTAAATGTTTTTGCAACAATACTGAAGCTAAAAATTTTAGTTTTAGGCGGTAATCTTAATTTCCAAACTTTTGCTAAGCGAACATCTATACTTCTAGGCTCAGATTTTACTTGAAGACGTGATGCAGTTTTAATAGAAAATTATACCAGAAGGAGGTGGTCTCCGCACAAAGTGATTTTCAATGTCAAAAAGTGGTAAATTAATTCTAGAAATATACTTGAAAAACATCTATAAGGACAAAACGATTCAACTTTCAATGTCAAAATTATACACATCTCAAAACAGAAAATATTTTGCTTGATAGTCTTATAAATCTTAAAGTAGTTGATTGGTGTTGGTCGTGTTGAAGTTGAGAATCCAACGAACAAGACTATTGAAACTGGTACACGGTTTGATACAATGATTCTAGAGATTCTAGATCTTTTTAAAGTAGAAGATGTGATAAGATGTGATGTCTATAACTTTGGCATGTGCTTATGAGAAATTTATTGTTGCAACATGCCTTACCCAGAGCTTAACTTTGCTAATGTATTATTAGTTGTTCGACAAAATTTACGAACATAAATCCCTTGATGTTGGCCAAGTTATTTAGCAAACACCATGTGTAGGTCCTGTGATGTAAGTGCATATAAACGTCCTGAAATAGGTAATGTGTTGGTAATGCATTAAAAAATAAGGTGATCAAATTTGGGATCAAATGCATATTGTGCATGAAAGACGTGAGTTGAGGCAATTGTTTCTTAGTAACTAATTGGAGCTCCTCAAAAGCAAGTTGAGCGGCTTATTAAAACACATATATAGTTGTGAGCCCTTTTCTCCAGTCGATATATCCTCACAACATACATTACCCGCGGAGAATTGGTCGTTCCCAACTGCACACCACCTGCACCAAATGCGATACTGCCAACATGTTCAAAATTACCATGTTTATGCAACTATTTTCGGAACTTCCCTAAAACCACCCAGGCCAACGATTGAAAATGAACCACCTCTTGATTCCAACTACCGTACAATCCCTTCACAGTGGTTAGGATTCCAACATTAGCATCAATTAGTATAGCTATTGACCATATAAACATGAAAACGTTAAGTTTGTCTAGCTATGTCAGCTTTGAAATGATCACCGGAAAAGACCAGAACTTTTCCGTTCGTATTATACAAGAAATGGGGATGGTGAGTCTTGAGATGCACTTTTAAGTTTGTATGGCAATTCTTTATGCTCTTAATTACTCATTTGGGCTTCACAATTATCATGAACAAATTCGTCACACCAACCATGTGACAAAAGCATAATTAATTTTCACTAATTGTTTACATGATACCAATTTACAAAGAAAATTATGATTTTGATTATTTAAAAGGGCGATGACACATCGACAATATGTTCCATATCCCGACTACAACATATTATATCGAATTTGAGATTGAAAAGTTACATGAAACTTCAACTTAAGCACATAAATTTCAAGGATACATTAGTTCTTCTGCGTCAAATATTCCAAAACTTCATTGAACACCTTCTGAGATTTCCCACCAGTGGCAGTAGCCTTCTTAGCATCTTCTCCTACCTTCCTAGCCAAACCCCTCAGCTTCTTATCCTCCATCAACTCAACGATCTTCCTCCCTATCTCTTCCCCACCCACCACCACCCCTCCAACCCCCCAACCCCAACTCCTCTCCCATATTCCCAACCCTGCCTTCTCCACCACCTCCGCGTTAACGCTCTGATCCCCATGCTGCGGCCAGGCCAGCACGGGTATCCCTTTTTGCGCCGCCTCCATAACCGAATTCCACCCGCAGTGATTCACAAACCCGCCAATAGCCGCGTGCTCGAGAATGTCCTGCTGGCTCACCCACCCCTTCACTACTACTCCTCTGCTTTTTATCCTGTCCAAAAACGGCTCCCCAAGCAGGCTTTTCAGATCTTCCTTGTCCTCTTTGTCGACCTTACTTGTTTTGAGCACCCACAAAAACCTATATCCACTCCTCTCCAACCCATCTGAGAGCTCTTTAATCTGCTCATTCGACATGGCTGTTCTGCTTCCGAAACTCACGTAAACTACTGACTCTGCCGGCTGGCTGTCTAGCCATGACAGATAGTCTCCGTCTTCGTCCTGCTCTTTCTTGGCCTCGAAGGTATCTAACGGTCCGATCGGAAGAATCGGTGGGAGATTTTCTAAAACCATCCCACTGTTTATAGCTGCTAGAGTTTCCGGTTCAAAATCTTCGAAAGTGTTCATTAGGATCCGTTTGGATTTGGACAAAGCTCGAGAATTTGTGGCGATTATTGATGTGAAAAGATGATAAGGGTTTTTAAATGGAGGAGGAATGCTTCCTATAGGCAATGGAGTGATTCCGGGGACGTTGACTTCTTTGAGATCGCTTGCAAAACAGGAAGGGTTTGATAGAAGGGTTGGGAGGTAGGCCATGAGGCAGGAAAATCTACATGAGGTGGTAAAGATGATGTAGTTGGGGACGCCGAGGTCGGCGGCGACTGAGGCAATACTAGAAGCCACTGCAAAGTCGGAAAATATAGCTGAGACAGGCGGGGATGAAGCGGCAAGCGAAGGGTAGAGAAGGTGGATGGAGCGGGTGGTGGCTTCGAATTGGAGGAAGAATGGATCGTCGGTGGTGGGATTCGGGGAGGAAATGACTTGGAACTCAATGTGGTTAACTTTTGGATGTTGGGATAGGAAGAAAGAAATGTGGGCGGACTCCGCGGCGGAGACAGAAGGGCAAGCGGTGATCAGGCTGATGGTGCAGTTCCGAGAGGAGAGCATGGCGGCAACGCGGAGGAAGGGGGTCAAGTGCCCCATTCCGGCACTAGGCAATAGGGCTATGTGAGGAGGAGGAGGAGGAGGAGCTGCGGTGTTTGACATGGTGGTGGGAAATAAGTAAAGATGCCAGAAGAGTAGATTGACAATGAATACTTACATGTATCAGTAGCGTTCTTATTTAATAATAGTCACCATTTGGAAAATGAGTAGATTGGTAATCACATGTTTGACCAAACCTTCACCACAAAATCCAAGGATTTGGATTTACGGAATAGGATTCTCTTTTTTTTTTTTTTTTTTTTTTCTTTCCTATTTGAACGATCATGATTAAATCACGTCAACATCTTGTATTGACTTCTTTATAAAGAGAAAGAAAGATAAAGCAGAAAGTGTGAGAAGATGAGAATGAAGGAGATAAAAATAGGACGGGAGAAAATCCTAATCCGGTTTTGTCAATTATAATGACTTTAGGTGATGGAATGCTTCAATTTCTTCAACAATGCTTTATTTTAAACTAATGTAATGGATAGAAAGAGAGATCGAACTTGGGTATAAAGATGCATATTTACTGTCTTACTTAACCGATTTAATGTACATTTGCAACCTATAGCTCTTTCTTTGATACTATATAAACATATAACACACATCTACTACCTCACTCGGTGTCAACATGTAGAAAATTATTCAGAATAAATTTTTACATATAACGAGGTGTCTCTTTCGTAATGTGACACATCTCATAAGCATATACTTACAAATTAATGATTATGTACATCAATGCTTTATTTTATACTAGTCTAATGTATAGAAAGAGAGATTGAACTCGGGTATAAAGAAACGTATTTACTGTCTTACCTAACCGACTTAATAGACATTTGCAACCTATAACTCTTTATTTGATATTAGGGTAAACTTCTATTTACTGTCCTCATGTTTCGTGATTTTCAATATTTACTACATCAAATTTTTTTCGTCCCAGAGTCATACCTAAGTGTAAATTTTGAGATAGTCTCATAAATTCGTTAATCAAACTGTTAAGTCTGTCGTTAACTAATGATGTGATGCCTATGTAGATAATAACTGGGTGCCACGTGTCATTAAGGGGTCCATGTGGATTTTTTTTTCTTATGAGAAGGGGTTAAAAAAAATTCAAAAAAAAAAAAAAAATACATGTCTTCTAACTCCCCCAACCCCCCGCCCCATCTCCCTCCCTTCTCTCTTCTGCAACTTGCACCCCTTCCCTCCCTTCTCTCTTCTAAAACTGCATCATCCCAAACCCCAAACCCCTCCTCCTAAACCCATCTCAATCTTCATCTCCAAAATCCGGAAAAATCAACAACCCTATAAAAATCAAGCTAAAACTTTCAAAACCCATATCAAATCTCAGCCCCAAATACCCCCTAAACCATGAAAAATCTCAACTTTTTTTTTACTAAAACCAAAAGTTTATACATTCCTCCTAAACCCATACCTCTCCGTCCCCTACCTCAACCCCGACCCCCTCCCTCCCTTTTCTCCTCTCTTTCTCTACCGACGCCATTGTTCCTCCACTCTCTTGTTTCTTTGCTCTAGATCCTTGACAATCTTGCAGGTCAAACCCTAATCTCACACCACTGAAGGCCCAGAACCACACGAATCCAAGAGAGAGAAAGCGGAAAAAAAATGTTTGGAGGGAGAAAGTTAGCGTTTCTTTTTAGAGAGAGAAAGGGAGTGAGAGAGACGCAGGAGCCCTGAATCCTGAATCCCATTTCTTGGACTTCTTGAGTGACGTTGGAGCCGGTAATGGAGACGTAAACATAGTCGATGAGCTCTTCCCACAGCTGCTCGGAGTCGCTGAAGATTCAAGTAGCGACAATGGCGATGATTTTGGTCAGAATTTGAGACATGGGTTGTCCGGTCTTGGGTCGAAAACTAGACAAGAGTGGGGATTTGAGGCCGTTGAGGGTCATGAGGGAGATTTGGGGAACGGCGGAGTTGGTGAGTTAATTGTGGAGGAGTTTCAGTGATTTGCTGGAGCGAGGGGACAACGGCGATGCTGATTGAGGAGTGGGGGGAGAGATACTTGGAGTTGAGTGAGGAGAGAAGGGAGGGAGGGGGCGGAGTAGAGAGGGAGCATAGAAAAGAGAGGTTGGTCGCTGGATTGGGTGGGGAAGAAGAAATGGATAGATGAACTCATATTGGTTTTTTAGGTTTAGGTTTGGTTGTTTAATTTTTAAAATTTAAAATTATAAATTGGTTTTTTTTTAATTTTTAATATTCCATGTGGACCCCTTAATGACATATGATGTCCTGTTATTGTTTACATAGATGTCACGTCATCAGTTAACGTCAAACTTAACAATTTGATTGACAGATATATAACACTGTCCCAAAATTTACATTTTAGGTATGACTCTAGGACAAAAAAAATTAATATACTAAATGTTGAAAACCATAAAGTATGAAAGTAGTAAATAGAGATTTACCCTTGATATTATATGAACTTACAAAGCACATCTACCAACTCACATGGTGTCAATAGATAAAAAATTATACAGAAGAAATTTTTACATATGACGAGATGTCTCTTGACGTGACACATAAAGAGACATAAATTAATTTTGTCGACTCTAAGTGTACTGGGAGTTGTTGAGTAGTCTATGATTAATTAATGTCAAGTGGGTATTTATTATTACTAAGAGGTTATAATAGGTTACTGTGCATCATTGACTAAATCAATCACGACCCTATCAAAAGAAAAAATAAAACGACAAGGACCCGACCCAGGTTAACGTAATCGGGTTCTACAAATGAGCCCAGTGGGCCCTGTCTGTGGCTGAAACCAAGGCCCAAACCGTCTGTACAATACTTGGTATAAACGACGTCGTATCGATAAAGATCTATCATCGAAACGCTATCCGAAACGAGAAAAAAACGCCTACAGCTCCCCGTGCGCTGCTGAGCCTCTCACTCTCCGTCGTCCGCCGCCTTGGCGCCAAAATTACTGCAAAAAAAAAAAAAAAAAAAAAAATGAGCGCCTGCAAAACCCTATTCCGTACATCTCTCTCCTCAGTCACCTCCACCCTCCGAACCAATCGACCCACCGTCTCTCTCCTCCACTCCCCCTCCCTCCGCTTCTCTCCGCTTCCTCCCAACCAAGGTACTCTCTTTCTCTCTCCCTCGGCACTCATACGCACATTTCTAACTCAATTTTGTGATTTGAATTTGAAATTAGGGCTCAGGCTTGCTCCGTACAATGTTCCTTCGCGTCCGTACGCTTCAATTTCATCCGAAGCAACCGCCGCAGATTTCACAGACGAAGCTCACTCCGCGGACTCAACCCTAGAACCGCCGGAGAACCCGACGCAGGACACCGTGGAGGAGCTTCTGAGGAAGAAAAACGACGTCGCGCGCCTGAGGAAAATGGAACGCCGCCACGAGTCCGCGCACCAAATCGGCGGTCGGTGGTTCCCGTATCTCGACAAGTTCAGCTGCGGTGAAGGTGCTTTTCTCAACAGCGGTGAGGTGCTTGAAGCGGTGGATCCGTACATAATGGATGTCAGGAAGGAGAAGTTTAGGAAAGTGGTGAAGAATCGGAGCTACGGGGTGTGTCTGGTGGTTGAAGGATTGGGAGATTTCGGCAATGTATCGGCGGCGTTTCGGTCTGCGGATGCGCTCGGGTTTCAGTCGGTTCATGTGGTATCCTGCGACTCCAAAAGGTGCAACGGCATTTGAGGTGAAAGGGGTCTGGTTTTAGTTTAAAATTTTGAAAAAAAAAAAAAAAAAGAAAACCAGAAAGAAGATTTATTTTTTTCTAAATTGTTTGTTGATATGTGGTTTTTTAGTGAATTGGTAATCAGAGTTGGCTTTGTTTAATTTGTATTGGTAAGTTTAATTGAAGTTGTCCGGTTCTTAGTTGTCGAATTAACTTTGTTAACCTCAGCTTGATCTTGTTTCAGATATAGAGACAATCGCCATGTCAGTATGGGAGCCGAGAAATGGTTGGACATTGAAATTTGGAACTCTACTGCTGAGTGCTTTGAAGTTCTGAAATCGCGAGGGTATCGAATTGCCACAACGCATTTGGGAATGGACTCGGTAATTATCCACTTTCTTCTGCTATGTATTTTGTTTGTTTTGAAAAGATGTTCCACAGTTTTAATCTCAAGTACGTATCTGAGTTATTCTTCCATTTTGTATTTTAAGGTGTCGATATACGACATGGATTGGTCTTGCCCAACTGCGATTGTAGTCGGAAATGAAAATAGGTATTACACGTTTTCCTATTTAGTGATCATTATATTTTTCGATATCATCCAAGCGGGTTCTTTGTTCAGTTTTAAGCTGATACACTTTTGTGTCTCTGTGATCAATATCAAATTTTTGGATATACTTGTACATCTGATGAAGGATTTAGAAATTCAACCAAGAAAAAGTTGATAACATCAAGAAAATTACATCTTAGATATGTTCTTCCTCGATGTTAATTTGAGTGCAATGTCTAATTTAGGGGAATAAGTGATGAGGCCCTGGCTTTGTCAGATTTGCATTGCAGTATTCCGATGAAAGGCATGGTCGACTCTTTCAATGTTTCAGTTGCTGCAGGCCTTCTCATGCACCATGCAGTTTGTGATAGAACATCTCGCCTGGTAACAACTCTACCGTTATTCTTTCTGTACTGAATAAGGCATCCACTCCTGTTATCGTTTTTCTTTTTATTTGAAAATTTGCATTCATGACTAGTTTATTCATCTTCATTGCTTGGATTTTTATAATGGAAAGGGCATTGACAATAAATTACAAGAAAATCATAAAACCCTACATTTTATGCCGGCTATTGATGTCGTTTTGGAAATTCATTCTGAACTTTATATATGTGCAATTGAACTTCCATTTTGCATTGCATTATGTTAAGCCAGAATCAGTTTTCGACCCTCTTTTCTTCCCTCATTTTTCTACAATCATGTGTCTATGGGTCAAGACTACAGCGGCATTCATGTCAAAGTTTGTATCAAGCACTAGATAATTGCAACTCAATTTCACTATCTTGTGACGTTCTTTTTTTCACAAAAGCAAATAGTAATCATACAAAGCAGTTGTGTGCTTACTGAAGTTTCAAGCATTAGATGTTAATAACTGTTGCACACAAATATACAGGGTAGCCATGGGGATCTGACATTTGAAGAGAGCCAAATTCTACTTGCTGAATTCTCTCTGCGGCATAGCAAGAGTTCAATCAGCATTGCACGTGAGTATGTAAAGCGGAAGGCATCTCTGCTCACGTCAAAGATTTGAGAGACCCTTTTCTGATTTTTGATTGCCCGGATGATGTTAAACAAACGTGTTCTCCAAATTTCTTATGAGAAAGCAATCACCAAAAGGAGCAGAAGATAACAAGAATTCTCTGAAGCCAACCAAGAGGACAAAGTGGCCATGTCCGATTGAAAGCAAAGCTTGGTGCGACATCACATGCAGTGTAGAGAGGGCAGCATGAGAGCTTACCTCGGCAACCAAGCATGTTCGGGCCAAGAATTGTCATTTGGTTGTCTATTCTCCCAATGATTCTTTACTTTCTAGCGATAGGACAGCTTGAATCAATGAAATTAATTACCTAGTCGTTCTTCTCCCGTTTTTTCTATATGGTCAAACAAGATTACTTTAATTAATAACTAGTACAAGGTTCAAAAAGAGTCAGGTAAACAACAACAAATAAAGTAAAAGGCTCAAACAAAATGAGAGCAGCACACAACGAGAGGCTCACATAAGTTGTAAAAAACAAACAACCAAAAACCCTAATCTCAATTAGCGTAAACCAGACCGTTGTAGTTATCACGTCTTCGGAGGAAGTCAAACTCTAAACCAAGAGGGTAGACACTAGATCTAAATCTCTTTAACGAATCCCTGCAAATATATACAAAGTATCTTGTGGGTAGAAAGTGAGGCTAAGGGGTATGTAAATTGTGACGGAGGTTGTAGAACACTTGACCCCGATTGAGATCCGACATGTCGGTTGGGGGAGGGGAAGTGTATATGATATTCAATTTCTGAACAGAGCCAACCGATCCGAGCATAATGGGACGGGGATGGAATATCACGTCTAAGAAGGAGGGAGGAAGGTAAAGTAAATGACATAAAGCAGTACAAGCGGGGGAGGGGAAGTGTATATAATATTTAATTTCTGAACAGAACCTACCAATCCGAGCATGATGGGGACGGGGATGGAATATCACGTTTAAGGAGGAGATAGAGGAAGAAAAAAGTAAATGACAGAAAGCAGTACAAATGGGCAAAAAACGTCAAATAAGGGGCATGAAGCCCTGGTGGGGGAAGCAGAGGAGGTGGGATGCTGTGAGGGGGAATGGGTAGGGAGAAAAGAGGGGAGGAAAAGAGAGAGAGGGCAAAGGACAGTCGGGTATTTCAGAACATGAGACCATCTCGTCATCACCTGATTGTATTCATGTCCAAAGAGTGTTCACATTAAAAACACATGGCCTTTTTTATCACACATCAACGGAGCAAGAGCAAGATCAAGTTACCATTTAGCAATTTCTTGTTTTCTTTTATTGTTTATTAAAAGGTAAAATGAGAAAAGCCTAATGTCAAATATCACTCTTTGATTTTGTTGTTTGAGTTTTTGGGAAAAAATCATCTCCGGATCCCAACCTTCCAGATCCTGCGGATCTCCGTAATCTCAGTCATTCGTATAAAATCATGCGGTTGTGATCTGTCTTCCTCTTTAACTTTCTCACTCTCTCATTCTCCTCAACATCGTTGCCTTCTTATACCCCGACGATCGACGAAGCTGAATCGCAGACAAAGAAAGAAGAAGAAGAAGAAAAATGGAGTAGTGAAGGTCGGGGAAAGATGCAGTGGGAATTGGGGTGGGAGGGGAAGGGGAAGGTGAGTGCTGGTACAGGGAGGTCAGCGAGATCCGGATGGTTAGGATCCTTGGGATCTGAAAAGGATCTCTTTCCTGAGGTTTTCAATGACAATTTTTTTATTTTTAATTTAAGAAGTGGGTCCTAGTTTGTATAAAAGTCTTCTGCCATTTGAGTTTCTCATGAAGAGATAGTATACTTGTCCATTCTCTTTGGAAAATTTTAGAGATTTTTAAAGGAAACTTAATGGGAAATATTTGAAAATTTTGAGTTTTAACGATAAGAATAAAATAAAGGGTAAAATAAATAGTAACAAGATCAAATTTTTAGTGTAAAAATATGATTTTTCGTTAAATTGAACAGTACCATAAACTTTTCGTTAAAACTCTCATCTTTTAATTGTGTTTTTTTTATTATATATGGTACGATTATAAATTATTTTGAATTTTTTAAATTTAAAATTAAACACATAAAAATTGATCCACGATATACGATAAAATGAATATAATTAAAAAAATTCTTGGATCCTCATAAACATGATCCGATTTTTATATTTTTAATGAATTGGTCCAGCTTGTAATGAAGTCTGCTATTTGAATTTTATTTTTATTTTATTTTTGTCAAACCTGCAATTTGAGTTTTTTTTTTTCATCGACATTTTTATTTTATTTTTCTACTTTTTAATGAAGTGTGCTCCGGCTTGTATTGAAGAATAAATGAAAATAAAACCCAATTGGGTTTGGTCTAGTGGATAAAAGCTGGCTATGCCACAAGTTTGGCGGTTTTTTTTAGTACCATCTTTAGGAATGTCAGGGTTCGATCATCCGTTTGTAAACTAATTTTTTGGAGAGAGCTTTCTATAAAAACAGCGATCCAGCTCGAAGTGATAGCCCACTACTACCATTTTTTTAAGCAAAAAAAGAAGGAATGAAAATGGAATGTGTCTAGCGAGTTCGGCTAGTAATTTTCGAAGATTTTTTGTAAAGTGAAACTCTTGATGGATGAAAAATTAACGAGCATCGGTAGTTGCTTCCTTTATTTTCTGGTTGTATTCATAATTTTCTATATACATATATATATATATATATATATATATTAATCGATATTGTCTTGGAACCAATGAAGGCAGCATCCCTAGGGACTTTTGCTTTGACGTAAATTTGGGATGAACAAGTGAATTAAATATGTTTAATCAAGTGATTAGGCACGTAAATTTTGGATGAACCAATGAATTAAATATGTTTGATCATGTCATTACGCAATGTCAAACTTGATACATAGGGTTATCAAGTCCCCAATCTAACCATCATCACATAAACACTTCATTAATTAAAATCTTCTTCATTTTATTTCCAAACTCTTACCCAATAATCCAATGGCATTGAAATTCATTCAAGTTTGCAGGGTAGCTCCACAACCAGGCTCGTGGGCCGCCTTGGCCATCCCAGCTCAAGGTGAGAAACTTATGTACGATGTAGATGCCGCTACGTCAAAAGCAATATCTCAAGTCAATCACACTCTACCGGCTCAAGAGGACTTGTCTCTTCCTCTAACCTTCATAGACCTCGTATGGCTAAGGTATCCACCCTTCCATCGCCTTTTCTTCTATGACATATTGCCTTGCTCTTCCCCGGCAGATACCCTACTCTTCTTTCATTCAATAATTATTCCAAAACTCAAAACCTCTCTCTCTATCGCCCTCCAACATTTTCTACCTCTAGCCGGAAACATCACTTGGCCCGAAAGCTCCCCCAAACCCACCCTAAATTATGTCAAAGGCGACACCGTTTCCCTCACAGTAGCCGAATCTGATGCCGATTTCCACCATCTCTCAAGCAATGACTTTAACATTGATGCCAAAGAATACCACCCTCTTGTACCCCAACTGGCGAAATCTCACGAAAAAGCCGCCGTGATGGCGTTTCAAATCACCGTCTTTCCCAACAGCGGCGGCTTTTCCATTGGAATATCCATGCACCATGCAGTTGTTGACGGCAAGACTCTCTTCATGTTTCTGAAATCATGGACCCACATATGCAAACATGTTCATAAATCTGATGACATTGTTTTGCCTGATCAGCTCAAACCATTTTACGACAGACGGGGTCTGAAAGACCCCATCTGTCTCCAACTGGAAGAGATTTACTTGAATCAGTTTCTGAACATGGACAGACGACAAAATAATCGAAGCTTGATGGTTGCAGCCCGCTATGAATCTCTAGTGATATCAAATTCAACTCGGGGCAACTTCGAATTCACGAGCGCAAAGATTCAAGCTTTACGGAAATGGGTCAGGACCAGGAAACAACAGGAAGGAGATGATGGATCCGTTCATTTGTCGACATTTTCTCTAACGTGTGCCTACACATGGGTTTGCTTACTAAAAGCAGAGAAAGAAGAGCAAGAAGAAGTAAACGGGGGCCAAATAATACCTATGGCATTTAGCGTGGACTGCCGGTCGCGCTTAACCCCTCCTTTGCCTGGAAACTATTTTGGAAACTGTGTAACGGGCTCTGTAGCACTTGCAGAAAGAAAGGGACTTCTAGGAGAAGACGGGTTGGTTGTAGCGGTAAATGCGATTAGTGAAGCCATTAAGGGTTTGGATGGCGGGACTCTGACGAATGGCGCGGAGAATTTGGTTTCCATATTTTACCCTTCTGATGAACAGACTAGTAGTGGTGCTGGTCATCGGAGAGTATTTACGACCGCTGGATCGCATCGGTTTGACATGTACGATACTGATTTTGGATGGGGAAGGCCAAGGAGCACCGAAGTAGTTCGGATACATACAATCGGAATAATCACTTTTGCAGATGGCAAGAATGGTGGCGGAGCTGTTGACATCGGGTTGGTTTTGAAAAAACATCATTTGGAGGCTTTTGCTTCGCTATTTGCTAAAGGTCTTGAAACCCTTTGAAGTTTGAAGTCTCATTTTATATGTATTCTGGTCAGCTGAAAAATTGTATGCTTTATGATTAATCTTGTGGTGTTTTCTGGAGCAGGAAGCTCTATGTTTCTCGGATGAATTGGTATAAATAATGTTGCATAAAAAAATTTCGGAAGACTTTGCACAAAACCAAGGGCAGTGGTCTTTACTTCCTCTAGTACTAGTACTGCGTTCAGTGGGGCGCGAGTGAAACTTAGTCCCCCTTGGTCTATTTATTCTTAGTCAAGACAGCACCAAACACTCTTGACGTGAGATCGTCTGAGGTTTGGAGGGCAGCTGCTTGTGATATGAGCTCCCTTCTATTAAGAAAAAAACAAAAAAATCTTAGTGTCACCACCATGCATAGGGAGTTACATGACCTACGGGAAGGCCGTCGGAAGGCCGTCTCTGCTATCCACCGACGGCCTTCTCACCGGCGCCCGGCCCTAGCGCCAGTCAAAATTAAGGTAAGGTTGTCAGTCGTTACAAGCAATTCACAAACATATTTGGGACCATTGAATTATTTCCACCTCACCTTCTCACCTTTCAAGATGAGTAATAGTTTGTCTACTAGAACATATAATTATGGATAAATTACATAAAATAACCTCAATCTCAAAGTAACCAAAGATTAGGTTCTTGAGATCCACGATCATTGGTAGCCACAGGAAACAATCTCAAAGCTTTCCACACGTAAGGCTTAATGGAAGATAAAGAGACAAAGGGCTCTGAGGTAGCTTTTCTTATCTTCTCCTAGACTACTGCCGATATTATTGTTGAATTGTAATCTTGTCTTGGCCCAAGACAATTGATCCCGCTCATACATAAAGAAAGATCCATGCACATGTTAGAGAGTTCTAGCAAAGTTCAAGTTGGTGGAAGAGTCGAGAAGAATGTTGAGGATTCCACCAACATGCAAGATTAGTGTAGATAATTCTAGCTTAGGAAGGTAGTAGAATTATCTAGATATTTCCAGCATGATGTTTCCATGCTTCTCCAAGTTTCCATCCATGCCTACAAAAGGAGAAGGCATCCACACCATTTGTATCAATTAAGAAGAATAACAACCAAGACAGCAAGTAGTGAGAAGTGAGAGTGCCAAGTAACAAGTGAGAAGAAGTAACAGAGCTTCTAAGAGTGTTTGAGTGTTTCCTCTTGTACTAAGTTCGTGGGTGAATAAAAATCTTGTGTAATACTTTGAGTATTCTTTCTTTCTCTTGCCTATCAATTCCGTTGCATTACATTCTTCTTTGTGAGATAAACATCTCCAAAGTAGTGAAGTATTTTTAAGCCCCAACAATTATTTCAACATCTCCTGCACTTGCACTTGCACCATTCGGCTGATCGGATCCCATAGCCAACTTTTTCAATTTGTCAAACATTCCGGCTGCAACAACTCCTGCACTTGCACCAATATTCATGAAGAACTCTTTCAATTTGTTAAACACCTGAAGAAGCTCTTCACGTGCTTCCCGATACAAACTTTTCAAAACATCTGCAATTTCACGGTACGACTTTGTTACTTCAATCACAAGGCAAATGCTCCATGCTGCGATGGCGAACCACCCCAAAGCTGGAACCAGGATCAACAATTCTAAGGTTATGGCAAGTGTTCCTGACAAGAGGCTAATTTTATCCATGAACTCAGACAAATCTGGATTTTTACGAGCTTGGAGTATCTTGACTGCCAATGAACCAAGGTAAACCATGAGAACAACCAGAAACGCCACTAACGTGTTGTATTCCGTGGAAAACAGAGATACTGCAGCTCCAGCTCCGTACCTAAGCTGGATAAACCCGGCTAGAACGGTGATGGCAGAGAAATACACCAATGCAATTCCTTTGAAGAACTTTGACGATAATGTTCCTCAGCCTCGCTTCTGCTATATTATAAATATATGGTTAGAAAATTATATTGAAATCAGTTCATCTTCTTAATTATTATTTAAGGACATCTCTGGAGATTGTTTTTAATCATTTATAATCATTATATGATGATTAAAAATAAATAAATTGTTCTAATTTTGAAATTTATACGGTGTTAAATATGTTAATTGCAAGTATTTTCCTAATAGATTGGATGCGAGTATTTTTGTAATCAAAATAGTTGCAGATCCAAAGTTAGAAAAGTTCATAACCACAAAGGCTATTTTGCTAGGACAACAACCACAAGGTTTTCGGCAAAAATACTTGTTCATGACCAAAAGTAATAGTAGTTTCAGGCATATATATAAGAGCATCTATGAAGCTAGATAGATTTGTGGCTACTTTCTGCAACAACAACTACAAGGGTGATATTGGGCAAAAATTACTTTTTCATGATCAAAGTAGCAGATGTTTCAAACTTTCAAGTACATAAGAGCATCTAAGAAGCTTCCATGGCTGTTGACGTGGTTGTCATCCTATGCCACATGGCCAAACCACTAATTAAAAAAATATTTTATATTAACAATTAATATGGAGGAGGAGAAAGATATGGAGGACCCTAGAGCCACCAAAGACTCAAATCCACGGCCCTACCACCTACTTCCAGTTTCTTACTACACCATTGCAAACCCGAGAACCCTAGAGTCACCAAAGACTCAAATCCACGGCTAAAACCTCCCACATCTACGAGACTACACTGTCGCTCAACGCTTCAGGTTTAAAACAATTCAATTTCTTGTCAGTCTTTTTAACTTTGCTTTTGGATTTACAATTAATTACTTCCAAAATCAAGCAAGCTAGCAGCCTTTCACCTCCACAACCAGCCTCTGAGGCCTCTAATTAGGTAATTTTGGATTTTATTTTTTAGATTATATGTATTTGTCCCTGGCTATTTTATTCTGGGTAATCGTTGGGGATTATTCAAATGATTTATTTGCACATATGGAGGCTTTAATAAGTTGTTTTATTTGGTCTTTCTATTTCAGTTTTCTGTTTGTTATGAACATGCATGTAGGTATTTTTTTTTCTGGGCTTATTGGTTTTCATGGTGATTGAATGTGAAAAATTTGGAGTTGTTGATACCATTATTGAAAAGGAAAGTTGTTTGATTTGGCTTTGAATTGCTCTGCATTTGAAAAAGATTGAAAATGGTCTCTACGGGCAAGCAGAATGATTTCCCCCATCATGGATGATTTTTTTTCTTCTTCTAATTAGTGTTAAGCAATGTCTTTTCTGTTTATTGGTGTTATTATTTGGAGTCCTAGAAAACCATGAAAAAACTATATAAAGAAGGATTTGAGAAACACATATATCTTTCTCCTATATATATTTTCAGCTGCTCAGTTCTGTTTAAGCATTGGCTTTTACTTCCTTTTAAGTTAGATACCAAATAGTTGAAAGCTTATGTCATGGTTTGATTACTATGACTGTGCACTGATGTTTAAGTAGTTCTTCCAATTAGTGACCATATGACTTGCTCAAAAATCATCCAATGTGTTTTTTCTGTTCTTCTATTGGCTGGAGGCCATTACCTCCAGTGAATATATCGATTGGATTGTTTAGTAAGAGCACAACCACCTTTGTAATACCAAAGTTGGTTTCGTTTTGGTTGTATGAGATCAATTGGGTTGTTTAGTAAGAGCACAATCAGCGTAAAATTTTAATTATTGAAAACTTTATCTGCATGCGAAAATGGTAGACTGATTCAGAACTTCCTTATGCCTCTTTTGCTTATTTTTTGTATTAAGCACACTAATGTTTTTATTTCCAAAGTAATTTGTTGTTGTGATTGTGTTGTTTGAAGGTTGGTCATGGTTTTTGATAAGGGTAATTCTCTTGTTTGTGTTTTTAAACCAAGATGTTGTCGGTATAGATTTTATACTCTGCAAGTTTTTGGGTTGTTCTGGTTTCAATATTTTCATTTTAATCTCACTTTATCAACATACTTGGTAACTTAAGTGATAACCACAACTTCCAAAGCTCACATTTTGAAGGATATTGAATTTGGAAAACTAATATGTTATTCACCGTTTTTTTTTTTTTTTTTTTTTTTCCTATACTAAGTTAGATTTTGGTCTTATTGTTTTTTAGGAATGGTATGTTGGAGTTGGGTTTTTATTAAATTTTGGCAGATCTTCATATTCTTGCAATCGCAGATTGGTTTAGAAGTTTAATCATAATTTAAGTAGTTTTTTTGGTAATTTTATCTTTTGTTAGTAGATTATCTAGTCCTGGCATTTGGAGTCTTGATAACTTACTAGGCTATGATAAATTAGTGAAATCAGATACGCAAAAGAAAATGAAGATATGATAGCACAACTGAAGGGTTGCAAGCCAAGGGCAGACCAACATCTCCAAAGGTAGTGACATCAATTTAGCCTTCATTAGTAGTGATATCAATTTGATCTTTATAAAAGTTGAATGTTTTGAAATTACAGTGAATAGGTAGTTTATGGTATGAAACTAGATATATTTTTCTTGTTAATTAATGGCCATTTAATGTAGGATGTTTTCAAGTAAAATTCATATAATCGTAAGAAACAAAGTATTACCACAAGGGAGGGGCAAAACCATTTCATCCAACATGCAAGGAAGGCTCACAAGGTAATGAAATTAAAGTACATATAAAACTCATTGTGTAATTTAGATAGGCTCGTTTGTTATGTTTTGTTCTTCTTACTGTAACTATTTCTTCAATTCTTATTTTCTTCTCTTTTGTTATTCAAATTCTCAATGCACCTACCATTCTCTAGACACCAATGTTTATTTTCTTCTCTTTTATTATGTAAGGATAAGATGAAGAAAAAGAAGGATGGAGTTACAGGAGAAATTATTCAAGAAGCACCTGAGGTAGTGATAGTGATCTTTCAAATGACAATGATACTTGTGCTGAACTAAAGACCATGATATGGTTGATGACTTATATTATGAATTTTGTTGTTAGTTTCAACAATGCACACGGTATACCTGTTTTGTTACCAACTCAATGCCTTTAGAATGTTGTTAGCATCTCAATATGTTTAGAGCTATTAGGATGCTTATGTTAGCTTTTGGGATATACACTTGGTGTATGTATTGGATGTAACCTAATTTATTGATCAATGAAATGTGATTAACCAAGGTATTGCCTCATATTTGTTATGAATTCTAATTCTAGATGACGAAGCAGGGAATATGTGCTAATTAGTTCATCACGAAGGCTACTTTCTGCAACAACAACAACTACAAGATCTTGGGAAGAAAATACTTGTTCATGAACAAGAGTAATAGTAGTTTCAAGTATACAAGAGCATCTAAGAAGCTAGATAGATTGTGGCTACATTCTTCGACAACAACTACTAAATCGGTGATCTTGGGCAAAAATACTTGTCATGAGCAAAAGTAGTAGTTTAAAGTATATAAGAGCGGCTAAGAAGCTAGCTAGATAGGAAGTGCCTACGGATGATGAGATGGAGATGAAGGGGTACTACTCCTCCCTCTCACAAGAAGGTTGCCAGATGCAGCTGCTTGATGATTCATATTCATAGTGTTCTAGCCAAAACCAAATTCTTCCGAAGTATTGCCAAATTCTTAGAAGATAGACTATGAACGAAGAAGCTAGCTATATTATACATAATACTAAAGCAGATTCTTCGTTCATAGTTGAAGTACCGAACGGTTGCGGAATGGGGAGTTTACTAGGAAAAGGCGAAAATGCCCTCGATTAACTAACCAATTCCACAATTTTCTACAGTGGAAAGTCTGTTGTGCCCTTTCCCCAATCAACTCGTCTCTCATTGGCTCTTTCTTCGTGTTGGTGGTCGGTGCCTGCAATCGGATTCTACCAATTAGCCCGGTGACCCCGGAGGTTACCGTCGGTACTTCAAATACGTGGTGCCCAACGACGTCATATCCATGAAGTTCTATCATCGGAACGCTATCCGAAAGGCGAAAAGATAGCCCCTTCAGCTCCTGTGGTGCTGCTGAGCCCCTTACTCTCCGTCATCCGCCACCTTGGCGCCAAAATCACTGCAAAATAAAAAATAAAAAACGAGAGCCTGCAAAACCCTAGTCCGTACATCTCTCTCCTCAATCACCTCCACCCTCCGAACCAATCGACTCACCGTCTCTCTCCTCCTCTCCCCCTCTCTCCGCTTCGTCCCAACCAAGGTACTCTCTCTCTCTCTCTCTCTCTCTCTCTCTCTCTCTCTCTCTCTCTCTCTCTACTCATACGGACATCTCTAACTCAATTTTGTGATTTTAATTTGAAATTAGCGCTCAGGCTTGCTCCTTACAATGTTCCTTCGTGGCCGTACGCTTCAATTTCATCCGAAGCCGCCGCCGCAGATTTCACAGACGAAGCTCACTCCGCGGACTCAACCCTAGAACCGCCAGAGAACCCGACGCAGGGCACCGTGGAGGAGCTTCTGAGGAAGAAAAACGACGTCGCGCGCCTCAAGACTACGGCAACATTCATGTCAAAGTTTGTATCAGGCACTAGATAATTTGCAACTCAATTTCACTGTATTTTGTGACTTTCTGTTTTTCGCAAAGGAATAGTAATCGTAAAAAGCAGTTGCGTGCGTACTTAAATTTCAAGCATTAGATATTAACAAGTTTTGCACACAAATATACAGGGTAGCCATGGTGATCTGACATTTGAAGAGAGCCAAATTCTACTCGCTGTATTCTCTCTGCGGCATAGCAAGAGTTCAATTAGCATTGCACGTGAGTATGTAGAGTGGAAGGTTTCTCTGCTCTCACCAAAGATTTGCTTTTCTGATTTCTGGTAGCACGATGAAGTTAAACAAACGTGATCTCCAAATTTCTCATAAGAAAGCAATCAACAAACGGAGCAGAAGATAACAAGAATCCTCTGAAGCCAACCAAGAGGACAAAGTGGCCACGTCCGGTTGAAAGCTTACCTTGGTAAACAAGCATTTATTCGGTCTAGAGAAGGCGGCATGAGAGCTTACCTTGGTAAACAAGTGTTATTCGTGCCAAGAATAGTCCTTTTCTATTCTCTTGATGATTCTTTACTTTCTAGCGATAGATAGGACAGCTTGAATCAATGAAATTAATTTACCTAGTTCTTCTTCTCCGGTTATTTTTAAGGTCGGGTATTTGATAAATTGAGTTGAGCATCGGGCATTGCTTCCTTTAGTTCTGTATTCACTAGTTGTATTCATATAGATTATCTTGGAACCAATGAAGCCGGCAACCCTCAACGACTTTTTCTTTTACGCAAGAGAAATGCTAAGGAGTGTTTTTATGGACTATCTGTCATATCAATAACACAATATGTTATAATGTTAGCACGATAATTAATGTTAAACTACGATGTCGCATAATATATTATAATGTTAGCACAGAAATTAACGTTAAACTATAAGGGGATAGAGAGCTCATAGAGTCTTATTTTGAGAGTCTTCTTAGCATTTTTCTTTATGTATATTTTGGATGAACTAATAAATTAAATATGTTTGATCATGATTAAAAACTATTTGACCCTAAATCTTTGGATATCATTCAAAATGCTCAAGAATTGAGATACGGTAAGAGATATATTAATCGAGAAATGCTAAGACCATCTCTAAAAAAATGTCAAAAGTGTCAAATAAGATTAAAAAAAACAAATTTACGCCTACCATCCCAGACATTTGTTTGTTTGTTTTTTGTGTTTTTTTTTTTTTGTCAAGCTCAGATATTTGTTTTGACACATAGATCAAAACGTCAATTCCCTACCATTAATTAGCGATGTTTTGAAATAGGTGCCTCAATTTTGAATTTTTTAAATTAAACATCCATGCCTTTTAGAGATTTGATTAAACTCTTCTTCTCATAATTTCGGTGCCAGAATTAATATTTTTCTGTACCAAAATTACATAACCTGCCAGTGCCCCTTAGTTCTTAAAACCTCACGCCAAAATTCCCTATAATCTAGCATTTTGATGACTCTCTCCCTCTTTGGAGATAATTGTAAAATAAAAAATATAAATAATATAAATAAAAAAAGAGTAGTTAAATACAATATTTTTTCACAATACTTCCTACAATTTAGCAATGATTATCTACAATTTAATATATATATATATATAATGTTTTTTTTCTTTTCAAAATAATTTAAAATATTTTTAAATCTAACGAAATCAAACGTACCAAAAATAGGACTGACAACCGTATAAACGTACCAATAAATAATGCGTACAAAATCGGATGTACCAAAACTGAAAATAATGTATCAATATCAACAATATATACCAAATCAAACGTACCAAAATCGCAAATAAACGTACCAATCAACGTTTTTTACAAAGTCAAACATACTCAGTGATAATATACACATAATATGTTGTACCTGATAATAGTTTGTTAACAACTATAAGTAAAAAAAAATGCGAAGAAAAATAGTCTGACAAAAAATATGAAAAAATTACTGTGGATCATCAAAGATTTGGAAAAAAAAAATCCATAAAAACAAACCATTTGGAAAAAAGAGAATATTTAATGTTTGTAGGACAAAACAATTTATTTTGATCGAAAGAATATAATTGGAAAAAGAGATAATAGAGTTAATAACTAATATCCCACTAAATAAGGGGAAAAAAAATCACATCCAACAACTTTGAGGATAAATTCAGAAATTAATAATTAACATTTTATTTTCAAAAAATACAAAATGATATGTAATTTAAATTAACTGAAAATGTAGGTGTTTATGGGTCAAAGCACTTTAATCAAATTTTGAAAAGACACAAATGTTTAGTCTAAAAGATATACAAAAATTGCAGGAAATTCTAATTTTCTCTTTATTTTAATACACCTCACATACTTAAAACATTTTCAGCAAGAGTGCCAAGTACAACTTCTTTGGCCCCATGAAAAAAAAAAGGGCATACGTTCCCTTGGATGATGGCACCTGCATGGTTAATTAAAGGAAAGGCGGCCATTGATGTTATGTGCAACCCATCTGATGAAGCAGTTTATGATTTTAACTTTTCCGGTGCATTCATAAGCTAAATTTTGTTTCCGGTCATAAGATTTGCTGATATTCTATAACGCACACCTTCCCATCAATTCTCTTTCTTTATACTACTTATAGTACAAGAAAAAAGCACCATTTGTATAATGGATACAAACGTTAATATTGACCCTCTAACATGTATACATGTAATTACAAACGTTAGTATTGACCCTCTAACATGTACAAACGCTAATATTGACCTGACGGTTCCTGCATTCTTTTTCAATCTGTTAAATCTCGGATTCACATTATTCCTCTCCTTAATCTAGTATAGAATAATAATATCGTTTGTAATAAAATTGTTAATTGGGTGTAGAGAAACATAAATCGGGTTCAAATAAAATTTTCTTGAATGGAAATTATGAGATTTTATTTGAACCCGTTTCTCTGGATATATGGTACCATGCATTCTAGTACGCAACCATCGGAGAGTTACAAATCCGTAGTACATCATTGGTTTGGTATAAGTTTAGTGGAATTTTGGAAAGTCTGATCAAACATATATAATTGGTTTGGTTAATGGATTTTGGAAAGGTCATGATCAACTAATATATATTGGAACGGTTTCATCGAACAGATGGATGAAGAGTTGTATTTGTTTAGGTTAAAGATTTGTAATTGTTCAATGTGAAAACAAGCACTAGTTGGTTTGAAAAGACACACTTTACGAGTGTCTTTTTTTATTAGTAGCTTTAATGTCGTGCAATATTCATTTATTCGGATTTTTAATTCTATATACCATTTATACAGTAATTTTAGGAGTGCTTTGTTCAAATACATTTTTGAGTTTGCTTTTCTTGAGGAATGAAGAGCTACTTCCACAAAAAGTCAATTGTTATACTTTGAGAGAAGTTTATCAAGCAGATCCTTGAGCACATGTGAGGAGGCAATCTCTCTTTTTCTAGCTCAATCTCTCTTTTTCTAGCTTAATTGAGCTACATTGCAATCCTCGGAATGACTCCTCTTCTCGCAGCTGTATATATGTTGGTAAAAACATTTTCAGCAAGAGTGCCTATTGTTTGACCATTTAGATTAAGGGAGTTTTAACGAAAAGTTTGGAGTACTGTTCACTTTAATGAAAAACTACATTTTTACACTAAAAAATCAAACTTATTTTTTTTCTACGATTGCGTTCCATGCGCTTAAGGTCATTATCTCACACGCTTACAAGATTGGTGGATTGAAGCCTCTATATACGACATGTTAAAATCAAGATACATTTAATGAACCAATCAAGACTTGTCTTAAAAGCAACTTGCCGAAGTTGGGGGGTTAGTCATAGAATATTGCTGACGTCAAGAAGTTGAAGATAGGGGCTTGGTCATAGAAAATTGTTCGCTAAATTACATTTTGTTGTAGGTCTAATTTACTGAATAATAAATAATAAGAGGGAGAGTGTGGTGGCAACAAGAGAAATGAGAGATGTGTAATTACGGATTGTGTGTTATTCCACTCATTATGCCTTTATTTATACTAATAAAGAATGTAAAGTTTTTCCTCGATACAATTATAACTCTAATATGATAATACCTAGTTTAAGAGATATGGTAGAATCACATAAAGATATTATTTCACTCATTATGCCTTTATTTATACTAATAAAGAATGTAAAGTTTTTCCTCGATACAATTATAACTCTAATATGATAATACCTAGTTTAAGAGATATGGTAGAATCACATAAAGATATCCTAAAGCCTGATAGAATTTATACAATCACATTCTTAATCTAATAAGATTGCAATACACTTTCTTTTCCCAATTTTTTGTCAATTTTAAATTTATACATTTTTCAATTTCATACAAGGCCGCACGACTTCGTGATAATGTCGTACATCCGTAAAAAAAATTATTAACTCAACCGAACAAGACGTGGATAAAAAAGAAGTGCGCCCGCTTTCTATATTTCCTATTGGATAATTATTCCCACTACATAGGACAGCTTAATAAGACAAAAGCTCATCAACAGTACAATTCATCTCCGCCATATCTGTGGCAATAGATTAGAGTTTAAATCAAAATTCAATTTTCCGAACTGGACATACAAGCAGAGTATTAACTTTAATAACTGTTAATACATTTTCGCTTGCTTTTTTTTTTTTTGTGTTTTTTTTTTTGGGTAAAACACCAAACCAGAATAT